AAAGTTTAGTTGTTGTTCTACATGGTGCATCTCTTTAGTCTTACTTTAAAATTATATATATATATATATATATATATATACATTCTATTTCTGTATAAAATTTCTCAACATTTTGATTTTTTTAATCAGGTACTGTGGATTTTTTAAATGAAATTTAATTTTTTTACAATGTGAAAATGATAATGATTTCTTTTGCATTGTTTTTTGAGTAAGTTAAGTTTTGTTTTAATATTTTTAGCAGCTGCTATAGCTTTGTTTAGGAAAACTTGAAAATGTAGATACATTATTTTTTTTTTTCTTTTTAGGTGATGTGGCCTTCTCTAATGGAGTATTTAATGCCAGAAGAGATGACTGGAGCTGTTGGCACTGTGTGTAGAAGTCTTGCACAACTTGCAGCTAAGAAGCGTGAAGAACAAGGAACTGATTTGGAAATAAAGTTTGACAAAGACAGTAAGATTAGAGAGCTTTAAGATCATAACTTCAACTATACAATGTTTTGTATTTGGAACATTACTGAAAGCTTTAGACTCTCATTTGTACAAAATCTTAGTGCAATAATATTTACAATGTTGGTGCATTTTTCAAAATAATATGAAAGAAGTTGTAATGTGGTTTTCGACTTGATGCATTTTCCCAATTATTGCTGTTGGGATTATTTAAGTTTTGTCAAAATGAAGACCATTGTTAGCAGTAAAAGTATTTACAAGCAACATATACAAGTTTTTCCCATCAGTTGTGTTTACATTGTTTCCACAATTCTGTGAAAAGTATGGAAGTACATAATTTTGCTCTATGTTGTAAAATAAGAAGAAAAAAAATCATGGTCCCTACAAATAAGAAATGGTGTTTGAAATTTTTATTGGCACTTCACCATGCTGTAATTGAATTTTTTTTAGTTTTGGTTGAATTGCAAAGTATATGCATAGAAAATTGGTTCTTTTGTACTTCTTTATTTTTTTCAAGTTGTTATCAGATTCAATATTTTCATTATATCTTTGGTTTGAGTAGATTAGTCAATGTCTGGGTTCAATATAATCCATATAATATTATTTCTATTCTCCTAATAGCAATACTTGCTTTGGTTTCTGACTGTATGTTATTATGATTTATATATAAATGCTTTTATAGATTTTTAAAAGAGCAACTAAAAATTTGAAAAGTGCCTGTTTTAAACTTTCTTGGATGGAGATTTGGCAAAGGTTTTATAGCTGATAATTGACAGTTATTTTCAATTCATAACTATTAAGTATACCACCCACCACCAGGCTAGGTCTTGCAAGCCTTTGTCTTGTTAATATAGTGACTTATTAGTGATATTGGCAAGTGATCAGTCAATGTCAGGAAAGTACAAATCTTTCACTGGTAGTTAACCTTTCCTACTAATCATTCTGACCATAATTTGAATTTAGTTTTTGATATGAAAAAAAAAACTGCAATTATTTATTTGTTTTCCATTAAAAATTGAATTCTAAAATACACCAGCTAAATTTTTTCTGTAAGGTTTCTTATCTACTAATGTGTGTTTTATTGATTTTATGAACACTGTAAGAGGAGAATTGACTCATTTTCTGTTTGTTATTTGTGATTATATTGGTTAACATGTTTGCTTTGTAGTAACTTTAATGCACAGTTTATGATGGTCTAACATACGGATGAACCAAAAATATTTTTGAAGACGTGGGATTGTTGAAGTAAAATAATTACTTAAAAGTTCAAATAATGAGTTGAACTATATTCTGTGGTCTTTTTCTGTTTATTAATTTACCAAACAGAGTGACAATAAAGAACTGCCAGTTATGCATGAAATGTTTAGTTTAGATATGGATTAGCTTAAAAAGGCCCTGGAAAACTGCTTAGTGGTCCTGGTAAAGTCTTGGAAATTTGTCAGCCCAAAAATGTGGAAACCATGTGTTTAATTGTAACTTGTTTATACATTTGATGAAATAGTGTTAGTGCATTATGCCTATAATTATTTTTAACATGCATATCATCAGACTTTATATGAAAACTGTATTTATCCTTCAGGCAACCTCCCAAGACCCCCTGTGTTGTTAGCAAGGCTGACTGTATTGCTTGGACGACCTTTTGTTGATCGAAGTCGGGGATGTCAGATTCTTAGTTTTCTAAAGCAAATTGCACCTGTTATGGAAAAAAGTCTAATGGCTTTGTGGGACTCAAAAATACCCTCTCTGATTAAACATTTGGAAGGTACAGTATTAGAATATTTTTCTACTATATGCATGTCATGAGATTCAATTTTTAACAATTTCTTAAGTGGTTCAGTTAACCCTTTCTCCATGGGCATCTCCATGTCCCAAGGTATTTAGTGAGTAACATTCAAAATTTAATTAAGCTACTTTCTTTTAATAATATACCAATAAGTATAGCATAAAAACATAGCTAATAATCCATATGTTAATAGTTTATAACTTTTTACTTTTTTCAGGCAATATTTTAAAAAAATCCTGAATTTCTCCTAGTGTGAGAATTGACATTTTCTCTCTAGGCAATCCCCTCTTCTCTAATTTATTTACTACCCCTCCTAGAAGTATGAAATTTAACGTAAATAACTCATTAGGATGTTGTCATCACTCAGGCAAAGCATAATTTTCATAGCTTTCAATTTTGTTTAGTTTCAGAGCCATCTTAAGATAAACAAATGTAGTTTCATGTTACCATTTGAAATTATTCTAGAAAGAGAAAAACGAGTAATTTCAATTTATTTTTTTGGTGGTTACGAGGTTGGTAAAATTGTCCAACTTTCTATAGAGTTAGAGTAGAGAAAATAAAAAATATATAAAGTTTTACTGAAAAAAAACCTTTGAAACTTATTTAAGAGGTTTTAGAGATTACACAAATCAAATCTGAGATTTTTGAGATGAAGAAAAGTATTTTTTATCTTAACATGAAAATTACTTTTCACACATGATATTTCTTTTAACTCTTAAACCAAGTGATTCATATTTTAGGCTAAAATAGCCACAATAAGCATCAACAGTTTATAATTTTTATCTATAGTTTCTTGGAGAGTTTGTTTCCTTTAAACTTGAAAGCTTCTGCTTCAAAAATACACACTCCTACCTCTCTCCTAGTGAAACACAGAGAACAAGAAGAATGAGAAAAATATAACCACTATATTATCATTAGAAAGGAATCAATCTAAGATTTAATGCATTATTTAAACTAAAAAATACAAGAAGTAACCTTGTAGGTTTGCATTAATGCTTTGGATTATTAGTAGTTCTTCTTACAGAAAAAAATAATTTCACGAACTAGAGGTGTATGTGTTTATATGTAGATTAGTAAAAACTATTTAATTGATCACATCCTTGAGTTAAGGCCTGAAGATAGTTATGCATATTTAGAAAATGTATGTTCTGACTCTTTCATTATAGTATTATAAATTTAAAAAATAAAAGCTTTCAGTGCAAAATTTTTATCTGTAGGTACCCAATAACAAAAACAAAAAGACTTTCTAATATTGCATTACTTATTTCAAACTTGAAACCAGTAAACTTAGGGAAGTTTGAAGGAGAATAACTTTTTTTCATGGTGGTACAACATTACAAACTCAATTATCATTGGTATCAAACTTTTTTGAAGTTAAAACAAGGTTTATAATAGTGCATCCTCTTCATGTGCCTGTGGCAATGTCTTAGAGGGATACCTTATTAAATAGGTAAATTATTCTGTATTAGTTTCAGAAGAAAGTGAATGTTTCAATCAAGAAGAATGGGAGGATAAAATTGTGGACTTCGTTACGGAGACAGTTCAGGAGGTAGACAGAGAAGAATGGACAGTGTCCTTTGGTAAAGCTTTGGCATCTCAGTTGTCTCTATATGACAAGAGCCCTGATGACAAAGTGAGAATGCCCACACATTATGTAAAAATTTATATTGAAAAAGATGTACAAGTTTTAGTGGTTCAAAGAAAACTTTTCTTTCCATTTTTGTTTATCTAGCTTTTGTAGGCTACAACTCTGCATGCTTTGTTAACTGTGTTGTTGTTACTAACTCCTGAAGATGTTAACATTTTTTTTCTTAACTACAAAGATGTTAACAACATTCTACTTTCTTAACTACAAAGATGTTAACAACATTCTACTTCATTAACTACAGTGTTATTCCTCACTTCTGAAGATATTAACAACATTGTTGTCAGTCATCTGATGGTAAACATTTGTGCCAAAATGCCAACTAAATCCTATTAAATTTATGACCCTTGAATTATGCCTGCATTTAATTGGTTTGTAATAACCAAACACTTATAAGATTATAAACTAGATGGCATATCTGAGTCATAAAAATGCAATTGATATATCTGAATCATAAAAAAAATATTTGTACCCACTACATTGCTGACTGCAGGCAACAAAGCATGTGGAGTAGTAGCATATGCAGGCTTGCTATTTTCTTGTGAAGGGATACACATGCTGACCTTTTTTGTTTTCTAACTAAACATTATTACATAAGTTTGGCAATTAATTTTTTGATGTGCCATTTTGGTAGCACTTTTAAACATGTGAAAAACGTAGTTGTTAGGACATTCTAAATTACTATAATTTTGCCATAGATATATATATATATTATAGGGTAACCATAGAGTTCTTTTGTCAGTTTTCAATGTCATACCTCAGAAATGATACAATATATGAAGGTGAAAACAGGGGAACATGACTACCCATGATTGGGAAGAAAGATAAACTGATTAGGAGCATAATTTATACAATTAATCGAATTGAAATATGAAGTAAGCTGAAATAACTTGGTTACTTATCCTCACCTGGCAGATTACTATCATCTTTTACTGGGCTAGTATTCAGGTACTACCCATGCTGAAGGATACAATCAAAATTTTAATTCTTTTCATTTTAACACATTGAGTTAATGTATTTTAACATTATTTTTTATCTGGATGCTGTAGTTCAGAATGAGGGAGGAGATATTGAACATGTACTTCAAAAATATACCATCTGGTGGCAAAATTGAATAATATCTTCTTGGCATCTATTTTTTCCCATATGTTAATAGTCATGTTCCTTAATTTTCATCTTTTGTAGTGTTTCCCAGCTAAAACACTGCAAAGTGGCCAAAGGACTTAGTAGTATGACAAAGGTAATTAGTTATCAGATCAAGAGAGTCTTCGGTATAAGGTATTTTAGTTTCCAAGTGTTGTTCTTGCTATAATAAACTGAATAATGGTTTTGTTTTTTCAGTATGTGCTTTTGAAGGTGTTGGGAGTTGTACTTAAAAAAGTTGGAAATAAACAGTTCACAAGCCAGACATTGGACATTTTGTTTGAAAACATCCAGAACACAAATCCTTTGGAACGAGAAGTAAGTACATAAAGGTAGTGTAAAGTATGTATTTATAGTCCATTTTTCTTTTGTATATAGAATCATAAGGTAGTGTAAAGTATGTATTTATAGTCCATTTTTCTCTTGTATATAGAATCATAAGGTAGTGTAAAGTATGTATTTATAGTCCATTTTTCTCTTGTATATAGAATCATAAGGTAGTGTAAAGTATGTATTTATAGTCCATTTTTCTCTTGTATATAGAATCATAAGGTAGTGTAAAGTATGTATTTATAGTCCATTTTTCTCTTGTATATAGAATCATAAGGTAGTGTAAAGTATGTATTTATAGTCCATTTTCTTTTGTATATAGAATCATAAGGTAGTGTAAAGTATGTATTTATAGTCCATTTTTCTCTTGTATATAGAATCATAAGGTAGTGTAAAGTATGTATTTATAGTCCATTTTTCTCTTGTATATAGAATCATAAGGTAGTGTAAAGTATGTATTTGTAGTCCATTTTCCTTTTATATATAGAATAATAAGCATTAGTTTTGAAGTTGTTTACTATCTGTGGAACTTTTCTGTAGAGATTTTATTTTATTTTCATGTGTTTAGGGTTGTGCTTTAGCTGTAGGATATTGTGCTGCAACCCACCTTGATGCAGTTCTTGTGAAACTTGAACAGGTGGCCAAAGATGATCAGAAGAAGAATGCTGGTATTCTGGGATTTATAAAGGTAAGCTTTACTTGGGAATTAAAATTTGTATTTTTTTTTAAGCTGTTACATATGTCATACTATGTAAGTTTATATAAGTATATATTTATAGATTTTAAATTCCAAATGGTTTTTTCAAAAATATACTTGGTCTGCCAATCAGTTTTTTGTTATCTGTAACAATGCTACTGAAGTTGTCATCTGTTCAATACAGAGAGTTAAGTACCTGTAAGGAATATTCTACAACTTAGGAGATGCTATGATGTAACAATACTCACTTAGTGAGAAAAGTACTGAATATTACTGAAGCCCACTACAACAATCAACTGCATACACAGTATGGAGTTAATGAAATTTGTCACAACTAATGCTTTTAAAACAATCAACCTTGAACATTCCTGTCATGAAAACTAAACATTCATTATATATTAAGTCACAAAATAAACTAAATAATAATGTTTACACTAAACAGTCTTGTATATCCAACAGTACCTTATATTAAAATAATTTTGAATATGCAAATCAGCAAGTTGTGAATACCACAGCCAATATAAAGTTGTGGTAGGAAGACATGTATCAGAACTAAATTTTGATATTGTTTGGCTTTTCATAGGTAATGTGATGCCATTGAAAACTGACTACTTTTAGGAAGGGTATATAACAGCCCTCTCCAATACAAAATATTCATACACTCAGATAATAAAGCTGTGTTCAGATCAGGGATTTAGAATTTCTAAGACAGGATATTCCTTGTACTTCTTGGTATTAGAAAACAATAGAATGTGGATCAGCTGTGATAATTAAAGTGCAGCTTCTTGTAAGAGATGAGAATCCATGAACAAAAAAGTCTGGCAAAAGCCATCCAAGTGCCCCAGGCAACAGTACACAACATAATCAAGAAGGATCTTCATCTGGAAAAGCAACATTAGTCACATGTACACAAAATTGCTTCCACAACATATCCATTCAACTCTTGAACAATTAAAGCAGCTGAAGAATGAAAGAAGTATTCTTACTGTTTTATTTTATTACATGTCGTTAAAGTGTTTGACACTGTGTAGGTATTTCTGTGTGCTTGCTCAGTCTTAGAAATTGGCAATAGGAAATTGTGCTTTTGCTCCACCAGATAGATTATAGAAAGCAGGAAAGGAAATTATGTGGCAGGGCTATTGTCCAGATGCATAGTCATTAGACAGAATACAAGCAGATGTGGTTACATTGACTGTTAAGGATGTGGTGAGGCTCTAAAATTTTCTTAATATAATGTAATCAACAGCTGT